TTGCCAAGCGACGAAAACCCAACCCCGATGGCAAACACCGAGGGGGCGGGGGAAAGGGGGGGGGGCGAGGGGGGGGCTTGTTTTACAACGTCGTTGCCAAGCGACGAAAACCCAACCCNGGGGCGAGGGGGGGGCTTGTTTTACAACGTCGTTGCCAAGCGACGAAAACCCAACCCCGATGGCAAATACCGGGGGGGGGAGTGGAGGTGGGAGGGGAAACAAAAAAAAATAAAAATAAAGGCCATCAATATGACCTACGAGGCCAAAGGGCAAGCGGCAGCAGGCACGCAGGCCAACCCGGCAGTGAGGCTAGGCTAGGGCTAGACTAGAGCTAGAAAAGGCAGGCCGGCCGGCCATAGGGGCGGGATGGCAAAAGGGGTAAACCAAAGAAAGCAGGGAAGCAGAGGCAAGCAGGGATACGTACGGTCATGACGGCAACCGGTAAAGCAGGCCAAGGGCAGAAAGACAATTTACCCCCCCGTTGTTGTATCAGCTTGCACCCACCGGAGGAGTGACTAATTTTGAGGTTATGTTGTGTGTGTTTGTTTGTGTGTTGTTGTTCGTTTGCTTGTTTGTACTCTCGACCTGCGTCGTGTCCTGTCCGAGGGTATTTTTATTTTTTATGTCATTTCATTTTTGTACCCCCTGTTGGTAGGCGGTATAATCGGAGTAGACCTGTTGCGGGCCTGGCCGGCGAGAACCCGGCGCGGAACCCTCCGGCTTTGTTGGGGTACCAAGATAGTGGTGTTGGTTGTTCCAGTTTTGTTTTTACCTCACATAGCGTGTAGAGGGGAGCGAAGGGCTCCAGATTCGATATCTGTTTTATTATTATTGCTTTGCTGGCCCCTCGGGTCCATTTTATTTTTCGTGTACCTTTGTTAGGTATAAGTTAGCCTGTGACCACGGGAATTGACCGCATCAAGTGTTGGATAGTCTATTACGGACATTGAGAGGTACTGGATGGAGAGATCAGAACGGTTTTTAATGTGAAGACAACATACATACATACATCATCCTCGCCGAGGCGAAAAATCGCCTAGTTCGACTTTTTGATGGGGTGTTCGTGTATAGATAGCACCCCCACCCCTGTGGTAAAATATAGGTGTCGGTGTGTTACTTACAATCTGAGGACTCTAGCTCGAGGTATGTTAGTTGATGACACACTTAGGGTTACACCAACAATTACAATTGTCCCGCCTGTGAACAGTTTTGTGGTGCCTTGAGCGCCGTTGAGCAGGCGTCAGGTTGACTGCTCTGTTGTGTAGCTTTTCCGGAATCACCCGTTTCAGGTCTGAGCACCCACCCGTGGACCCACTCTGCTGTCGGGAACTGTTGAGCACCACACCACTCGAGCAACAACAGTAGTCAATGGGCAATCACGGAGTAGATATTTCTACAACGCACTGGTTTTGAAACGAAAAACAGCTGTAGCTATGTAGATAGATATCTTCTAGACTCCCATGTATTAGCTACACAGTAGATATGTATGTACCCCACATTGAAGACGGGACTCCCGTGAGATTCTACCGGTATCTATTGACGTGTTTGTACACGTGTTTGTAGTTGGGTTTCATCAGGTCGAAAGCCTCCTCGTGCACGATACACGAGACGTAAAAAGTTGAATCTAGTCTATCTAGATATATGTACCAACTTTCTCGACACAGGCTCATACAGCAGCCCCCCGGCTGCACCGCTTTTCGTATCTTCTCTCCAAGGTACTTACTGTGGATTATTCAAATGCGTGGTACGTAGCGTTGTACGCCCGACTACACAACATGTAGACTATCAGAGCGGGGGGTAGCTTAGGTGGTCCTTAATACCCGCACTTACTCTACTGGTATTCGGGTGTGGTATTCCGGATTATCCGGCGTGGAATGTCGGCGAGTTTCTCTGAATGGTCCGCACCCGCTTCTCCGCACCGCCTCTCTCTCTCTCTCTCTCTCTCTCTCTCTCTCTCTCTCTCTCTCTCTC